TTGACTGTGAGGTTCTTGTAGACGACGCCAACCTTCTTGGCTGATTGGCCATTCTTGCGCTTCTCAAAGTGACCTTCGCGCATGAATTGGCCAAGTTCAAAGTCTTCTTCCTTTTCGCTGGCGAGGGCGCCTCCAATGTCACCAGGCTTGTCATCTTCCACGTCGCCTGTGTCTTCCTCGGCGCGTGAAACCGACCCTCGACGTTGGGTTTGTCGAGTACTGATCCTACTAACAGTCCGGGACAAAGCATCTGATCGACGTGATTGGGCTCCGCGTGATCGTGACCTGGAAAGTGAGGCAAGTTCTCCTCGGAGCACCTCGAGATCTTCTGCTGCAGTCTTTGAGTCGAGCTTTCCAGCGTCGCGTTCGCCCCATGTTCCCGCCCGTTCAAGACGCTCACTATCGGGACTCTCGTCGCCTTGGCTACCGGGAGTTACTGCTTCTTCTCTCCCACTGCGAAGATAATTGTCGTCATGCCATGGGTTACGACGATTATCTCGTTCCGAAGGCGGAATGGAAGATCCCCACATCTTCAAGCTTATAATGAGAGGAATTGGGTATCAAACCGCTTGCTCGAATGAAGGTGAAAAAAAAAGAGGTGCAACGATGTCGTCAAAGTGACTGATTGGAGGCGTGGTCATAAGTAGACTTGTAGATGAGTGCTGACAAAACGGTGTACACTGCAGGAGCAATGTTGACCAAAGAAGATATGTGCCCAGCCTGGGCATCTCTGACCAAAATTTCCGCATTAGACAGCAAGAGGCAACGGAGATAAGCAAGCCATGTCGTCATACGCAGATTGGCTCAATGATTAACGTGCCTTGCCGAGGAGCTAAATTGCGAGGTGCACCCACTCTTCTCACCGACCTCGCACGCAATCCAAACGTTGGAGGTCCAACTTTTTCTTGCATTACTAATTCACTTCACCGCTGTAGGCAAAAAAGGATACTGAATATTCCCCACCAAGGAAGGTGTCCCTGCATATTTGGAGTAGACGCGAGTCACTCCCCACCCGTATAATGTGGGCCGACTGGTAAAACTGACAAATATGCCTGACCTGGCATGACGGCTGTATGTTCGAAATGTGGGATTTACGGTACCCCTCCATGTAGTCCCGAGCCGATGTTTCTAGAGTACTCTGCAGTATGTACACACATACATGGCCTTGCATGCATCCTCGCATGGAACGACCCATCCGCGGACTAAGCCTAGGATGTCGATCTTGCCAAGACTAGTAACAGCGTTGTCTTAAGTCCGACACCCGTAGGTGTACGGATATCAGCGTGCTGCTCGGTTGTATCTCCGTATCGCCTATAAGTAAATATGCATGCCTATCAACTTGGCATTCTGCTCTGAAAAGTGTCCGCTGCAAAGTAGTCAAGCACAAGTGTATTGCCGCGGCAACTCACAAAGACTCGCATCATGTGATTTGTAATCAATCATGCAATAGAGATAATATTCTACCTTAAGGGGTATTCGCATCTGAATGTAATCATCGGGGTGTACGTGTTGGATTCGATCATCATCCTCCTAATCGAAATTCTGTTCAGTTTACGGCTTCTTCTCGATGAGCTGAGGGATATCCTCAGGCTTGTTCTTGCCCTCGAGAATGTTGTAGACTGCGGTGAACAGGGGAAAGTCGTCCTCCATGCCCTGGGCCTTCAAGAATTCATTAACCTCGTAGGCAGTGCTGGTACCCTGTAGCTTCTGCCCATTAAGCTCCGTCTGCTCAATCTCGTCAATGGGCTTGCCGCGCTGGACAGCCATTTTTGCGCAACGAAAGTTTCGCCCACCCATGCACGATGTCACAACATCAGCAACACCGCAGCTTTCCTCTGTGAATGTGCTGGTGCGTGCGCTCTCTCCGAAAAAGGCCTTGCCGAACCTGACCATCTCCAGGATGCCAACACGCATGACAGCAGCTTTGGCGTTGTCACCCCATCCCAGACCGTCCACAAAGCCCGCTGCAAGAGCGATGATGTTCTTCAGAGCGCCACCGAGAGACACACCCGCAACATCGTTGACAATGTGTACATGGAAATAAGGACGATGGAAGAGCTTGCGGACGTTTTCGTGCGACAGAGGCGGGTACTCGTTGGGAAGAGCAGTCAGATGGGCAGAGCGCTTGCTGGGCTTTGACTTGCTAGGGTCAATCAGGTCGACGTGAGCAGTCAGGTCAACCTGAGAAGCATTGGGTGAGCCACTTGGGGTGGGATGGCGCGAGTCTAGCGGCGGCGGGTCGTATGCCACCGTAGTCTCAGAGTACTTCTCCTGAGCAATTTCAGAGGCAATGTTCGCACCCGACAAAGCACCGCAGTAGATGTTGAGCGTCATACCGATAGTCTCCGACATCAAGCGAATGCCTTTCTCGCTAACATCTACACCCTTTGTGCAGCAGATGGCTCGCGCATATGGGAGAATCTTTCCGACCAGTTGCTGGCATGAACGTGCGATGAATTGATGGGGTAGCACAAAAATGAGTATCGTCGAGTCCTTGCACGAGGCGGGGAGATCGGGGTTGGCAATGACGTTGGGTGGGAGCGTGATGTTTGGGAGGTACTTGACGTTCTCATGGACCCTGTTGATGAGCTGGGAAAGCTTCTCAGGCTGATCTGAGCCGTTGTAGTGACGCGAATCCTTTGGGATTGTGTACTCTTCCTCAAACACCCACATCTGCACTGTTTCTTCAAACAGTGAGGGATTCTCCTTGACGTTCTCGGCGACTAATTTAGCCATGGTGGTACCCCTATACCATCAGTCAGTCAATGCCCCCCGCTATCGAGTCATCTTGCATAGCTTCAAAGCACAGCTAAGCACTTCCACATGCTAAGTACGTACCAGTTGCCGGAACCGACCACCGTGACTTTGTGCTTGCGACCAACACCGAGGGATGCCATTTTTGTGTATTCGCGTCTCACTTGGTGCAGAAGGTGTTTGTGTAAGACGCTATCTGGTACGACTGTGCGTTTATATGGGATTTGCAGACAACGAGGAGTGACGTGGAGAGGCAAGCGCGAGGCAAGCGATAATGGCTTCCCAAATTTGCAAAGGGCCACTTTTGCGGGTTCCTATGATGTCTTTGCACAGTCAGTATGAAAAAGAAGACAAATTTTCAGCCGCACAGCAGCTTAAATATCACAAGAGCATACGAGCTGGGGCGATAACAGGCAGACTGACCTCGGCAGCTTGTGATGCGGCGTTGCCGAAAGCTTCAATTGCTATGACCCAAGTCCCCCAGGCTGGCGGTCAGGGCGTTTTTGGCAGTGGAACTGGACTTGGCAACAAGTCGTCGAGCGAGGGTATGAATCTGCTTAAACGGATGCGGATGTTGACGGGCTAGAGAGAAAAGCGGTAGCTTTGCGTCATGGGATCTGCAGCGTCGGACCTGCGGCGTTTGCTGATCAGCAGAATATGCATGGCCAACGACCAATTGCATGTGAGCAGAGACAGCCAACTAACAACAAAGTCCCGACAACAAGCATCACCAGACAGCATACGAGAGCACAGGGCACACAGTGTAAAAGTAGCAGTATTGGTAGTATTGGGTATTACAAGTCGTGTGTTGCTTCATAACATCGCATTAAGTATCCTCCGAGCGACCGCAACCACCATCAGCAGTGATGAACAAGAAAATGCACAAAGATAAACAGCCAAAGCCATAAAACGCCAACGCTAACACGCTGACGAAGATGAACCTTCTTCAGCGAATGTCCCCACATGGTTATGCTGATAGCAGTAACGCAAGGCCATCTCGTCACCGTCCAACAGGGACCGGCCCGCGACCCTTTTAGTGTCCTGTTGTTGATTTACAAGGCCATTCCGAAGAGGGCAAAGAGGCCACCGGCGAGAGCAGTGGTGCCGTACAAGGCAAGGTTGGCAGCAGCGGCAGGGGAAGGGGTGCTGGAGGCAGCGCCGCCGGAGGGAGAAGATCCAGTCGAGGCGGGTGAGCCGCTGCTGGTGGCAGAAGGGCTCGACGAGGCGGACGAGGAACCGGAACCAGAGCCAGAGTTACCGGCTTCGGTGGCCTGCTCGATGGTCTTGTTGCCGCACAGGCTGTTGCGAGCCTGTTCGCACTCGAATTGAGCAGTCGCGTCAGTGCCAGAGGCAGAGATACAGTTGCTGTACCAGACAAGGCACATCTGGCCGGGGACAGTCTGCTGGTACTGGTCCATGACACTGCTGACATCGGTACCGTTGCGGCACTTGCAAGAGAACTCGAGAGTGGACTGCACGCGTGTTAGCATTTGGTAGGCGCATGGCGGGACACGCGACATACAGAATCGCACTGGTTGCCGTTGCTGGCAAGCGAGCCGCGACCGCCGCAAAGCTCAACACAGGTGTTTTGGTTGGCCTGGCACCATGACTGCCTGTCGTCCTGGTCGACCGAGTTGGCGGGAACGGTGCAGCACTGGATGGGGGTGTTGAAGGTGCTGTTTTGCGCGGACACGAGGCCGGCAAGAGCCGAGGCGGCGGCGATGAAGGTGGAAGAGCGCATCTTTGTGGATGGGAGCAAGAATATCAATGCCTGAGATTGAGCGGCGTCAGCGGATAGCCGGCAGAGGGATAGGAGTGAATCGGGTAGGATGGGGCAGCAATGTACAGCAGCAATTGCGCGTGGAATGCGTGCGGGTGGTATTACTGGAGGCTGGTGGCGACAGGGAGGAGACTTACAGCGGGATGTATGATGCTGATTTGGTGGAGCGGATAACAGAGGCGGGTGTTGTTGCTGGGGGGAGCAGGAATATATGCTCCAACGCACGGGCTGGAGGAAGACGGCTAGTCGGCCGTGCTTGCCTACTACAAGCTAGGGCCATTGTTTTCAAGATACGCTCAGACGCGGCGGAAAGTCGACCTGGGCATCTTTCGCCAGTTGCCCTTTTGCGCGCCAGGAAATTGCTCATTTAGTGTACACACATGGGGGGAGAAGGGGAATTGGGGCCCTTGCCGGCTGCCCTCGCCCTCGCCCTCGACGCTCCGCTGCTGTCCGTTGTCAGTACTTATTAGCCATCGTCGTGAGGCAGACGGCGGTTTTGCGCGTCCGACACGGTGACGACGTGTGTACTACACGGCGGCGTTGGTTTCAGGTGTCGCCAGTCGCCAAACCCGCCACGCTTCGGATATGCGCCTGCAGGTTGGACCAAGGCGACCCCGCCCAACCGTCGGCGTCTGCCACTGTCAAGTAACTTAGTGACGCTCCCAAGGCCCCAAGGAGCATCTATCTGACGGTGCCATGCCGCGCCGGCCCAAGTGCGTTGCGCTGCGCTGCGCTGCTTGGTTGGGGACGGAGAATCAATGGCTCGCTGCATGCCTGCACAGTGGCCGTGCTCTGCATCCGCTGTGCAAACCCCATCTATTACTGACACATCCGAGCTCCACGCCTGCACCACACCACTCCACTCCACACCACACCAGCACCGCTCTGCAAAAAAATTAAAAAGAAACCGGGACGCCTGCCACGTCGAGTCAGGCCAGATGATGCGCCGTTTCACCTTTTGGCGGCCGAGAAGGGCAGCAGAGACGGGCAGACCAAACACCAAGCCACAGGCACGATGCATGGCTGCGGGAGCCTGCCCGTAACGCTGCTGTTACTTGCCTAGCTGGGTGGACCGACGTCGCTTGAACCAGTTGCCGCCAACCACCAGCCTTAGCATGAATAGCGTATTGCCCGGCCTTGCTGGGTCGCTTGCATATCCTCCCTCGGCCCGCGCAGAAGAAGGATGCACTACGCATCCCACCCGCCCAATCACGCGCCCCGCCCCAGATTGCCCATCAAGGACGCATGCTGTTTTGTTATTGTTATTGTTGCTGTTGTCGAGCCATGGCCATGTCGCTGCTCCTACACCGACTGAGGGTTCATCTCCACACACACTGCGGATCCTCGCTGCCAAGCACGGCACCCAGCACAACGAATGCCACTCGTCCAGATAAGGAACTGCATGTACCTCCATACACATTCCTGCACATCCAAGTTGTAGCACACGCAACCCCGAGGCGGTGACTGTGGGGTGTGGCAGTGACAGTGCGCGTCCACATGCAGCCATTGGATGCGGCTGTACTTATAGCATTACCCCAGAACCGCAGTAGTCTTTGGTGACGCATGCATTCCTCGCCAGCCGGTTACGTGGCTGGATCGTGGCGCTACGGCACTCCATCTCCCCTCACCTCTGCCGATGCCCCAGCCACCCAGTATTCCATATCTCTGCCAGCAATCACTTCACACTTGTCGTGTGAGATAAGCCCATGTGGAGTGATGGCACGGGTGGGGCTCTGTGCTCCACGCAGCGGAATCCCTACGAGCCCGACAGCAGTCAAAGCAACCATCCCTTCTTTCGGCTGTAGTAGTACTTCTAGGGTGCAAGAAAAACAACCAATGGAAAAAATCAGCACACGCACACGGCCACCGCTGACAGCTTGTCGAACATATGGCCCGTGCATACACAATCATCACCATGCGGCGTTGCAGTCCCTCACACAGTGCACGGCTGTTTGTTTTTGTAGCCAACAATCCGTTCCCTAGGATTCGAATTGTACCCTTTCACTGCACCCCGCTATATCTGGGGCTCGTGTTATGCCAAGTTCTCATAAGGGCTTTCCCCATAAGCACCGGCTGCAGAATCGCTCCTGCCTCTCCGGCCGAGATGATGTCACGACTCAAACTTGGTCTGTTGTTCACCCTCAAACTGGTGCAAGTTTACACACATTTCCCATGCACTCTCAGGTAGGCGCATCGATACTGCAACCATCTACAATACCCTCTTCGCCTATTGGCGGCCCTTTTTACAATGCAAACCAATTACTTTGTCTGCACCCTGGGCCAGGCGGCTGCCCTAAACACCAGTCCGAAGTCGTACCGAAATATTGGCGAATACATCCGTCAGCAGTCCCAGAACCACCCCTTACTCCCTGCCGTTGGCTTCCCCATTCCCGAACTAGATCAGCAAGTGTGGAGTTACAAGGTTCTTACATTTGCACATGTTGAGCATGGTGTTGGTGTCTTCGCTTCACGCCTTGCAATCGCTCTTGGCCCCTCACGAGAACCACAGACTGTTGCTCTACTGTGCCATAGCTCTCCTGAATTCCTCTTCACTTGGTTAGGCCTGATTAAGCTGGGTCATGCCGTCTTACTCGTAGCCCCCCAATGTCAGCCGGCTGCAATATTGCATCTTTGTACCTCGTGTCAGGTGTCAGTTCTCCTTTACGACGAGGCCCATGCTGAGCGAGCGGATCAGTCGGAGGAACTAGCAAAAGAGCAGGGACTGTCTGCTTTGAAAACAAAACTGCTACCAATAGATGCTTCGGAAGACATCTGGCAGGTTATTCAGGAACAATTCGAGGATAGCATTGAACCACTGCACGTCGATCAGGGAGCAGTTGCATATCTGCACCACACTTCTGGAACCTCGTCTGGCCTCCCAAAGCCCATCCCTCAATCACATCGCGCAGCCATTGGCGTGCTTCCGCATCTTCCCAAGATACCGGCTGTAGCTTCGTTTACTACGACGCCACTCTACCATGGAGGAATCGCAGATTTGTTTAGATGCTGGACCAGTAATGCCTTGATTTGGCTTTTCCCAGGCAAAGATGTGCCCATTACAGCTCGCAACATTTGTAGTTGTCTGCATGTGGCCAAGGTGTATGCAAATACAGAAGGGCTTCCCAAGGTGAAATACTTCTCATCGGTTCCCTATGTGCTCCAGATGATGGAAGCTGATGAGCAAGGACTGGAGCTGCTCCAAGAAATGGACATTGTAGGCGTTGGGGGCGCAGCCTTGCCAACTGAAGTTGGTGATCGTCTGGTCAGGAAAAAAGTCAATCTCATTTCACGGTTTGGAAGTGCAGAATGCGGCTTTATCCTGTCGTCGTATCGTGAATCCTTTGTAGACCAAGATTGGCAGTATTTGAGAAATTACAACCCACCAAAACTGGTAGAGTTTGAAGAGCGTCAGGACGGCCTGGCTGAGCTTGTCATTAAACCTGGGTGGCCGCACATGGTATTGCTCACAACTTTACGTACGTTGTGTAGCTAGCTGCTAATATCTATACAGGCAAAGCAGAATCGACCTGACGGATCATTCGCCACTGCCGACTTGTTTGCGCCGCACCCTACAATCAAGGACGCTTGGTTGTATCATTCACGAGCGGATTCCCAACTTACTCTCATCACAGGAAAGAAGTTCGATCCGGCTCCACTTGAGGATGCTCTCGCAACTTCCCCTGACCTAGATGATGTCCTCATCTTTGGCAACAGCCGACCATTTCCAGGTGCACTGCTCTTGCGGTCCAAACAAGCCCGTGAAATAACAGACAATGAATTGCTCAACTCCATAAGGGAGCAAGTCGCAAGATTGAACAGCGAAAGCCAAGATCATGCCCGAATACCGTTCGACATGTTGATTCCTATCCCCTATCAAGACAAGCCACTCGAGAAAAGTAGCAAGGGCACTATAATTCGAAGGGCTGCTGAGGAACGGTTCCAAGATGTCATCAATCAGGCATATATTGCGCAGGATTCCGACTCTTCCCCCCAGGTGACCGATGAAGATCTTCCTCGACACTTGACGAGTCTGATTCAGAGCCTGACGGGACAATCTGGACAGCTCACTGAGGATATGGACCTGTTCTCTTATGGTGTTGATTCCATTGCGTGTATGCAATTAAGAACGCGTTTAAGACGATTGATCCCGAATATCAAGGGACAGCTACCAATGAGCGTGGTAGAAGATTGCGGTTCGATTCGGCGACTGACAGACTATGTGTTGCGAAAGAGACATGGGGGAAAAGAGATGGGAGAGGAAGACGAAGAAAAACTAATGCTGGACATGGTAGAGCGATATGGCTTGTTTGAAAGGCCGGCCTCCGATGTGTCTGCCAATGGACTGCCTGAGAAGAGTCAAGGCGGTGATATTGTGGTGCTGACTGGGGCCACTGGGGCGCTGGGTGCGCATATTTTAAGTTTACTGCAGAAAACACCCACGGTCACAGCAGTATACTGTCTTGTCCGAGGAGCAGACGAGACAGCAGCGAGAGAACGTGTGAACAAAGCGCTGCAGCAGCGCAGTCTGATTGACTTAGGTCCTGCTGATGCCCCGAATACCAAGATCAAAGTAGTGCCAGCACAGCTAGGCGAAGAGAATCTGGGACTAGACGATGAGACATACGACCATCTCGCGAAGAAAGCAACTTTGATTGTTCACGTTGCATGGACAGTCAACTTCCGTCTCAAACTGCGGAGCTTTGAGAAAGACAACATTGCTGGGGTACGAAACCTCCTCAACCTTGCCTTGAAAGCTGGGCGCCCGCAGCCTCCTTGCTTCTTGTACTGTTCCTCTACTGCGGCAGTTATGAATAGCTCTCTGGATGACACAGGCAAACTGCCCGAAACGCTTAGCTCCAGGCCCTCTTCGGCATCCTCCCTGGGCTATTCTCGTTCCAAATGGGTGGCGGAGCACATTTGTCTCCGAGCACACGAGCAAACGGGGCTCCAGGGTCGTATCGCAGTTGTGCGTGTTGGTCAGCTGACTGGTGACTCAACTACAGGGGTGTGGAACACAAAGGAGGCTTGGCCTATGATGCTGAGCACGGCGAGGTTGATTAACTGCCTTCCCGACTTGGGGGATGAGCCTTTGGACTGGCTGCCTGTGGATGTTGCTGCAAGAGCCTTTTTGGAAACGCGTGACACGCTGGACGGAAGTGAGTCAATGCCAGTCTACCATGTGTTGAACCCACACCAAAAACCGACGTGGCACCAGATGTTGGAGTGGCTGCAGAAGTGGGAAAACTTTGACATTGTCACGTCAAAGGAATGGGTTGAGCGACTAGAAGAGTCTGGGGGATCGGAGCATTCTGCCTTGAAGCTCTTGGGCCTGTGGAAGGCGTCATATGGTGGTGAAGCCGCCGAAGCAGGGACACGACCGCAGTTTTCTATGACGACTACAAGCAAGAAGGTGCCGACGTTGAGGGATATCAAGCCGCTGGACGAAGAATATCTAGGGAAGATGTGGTACTGGGTCCAGCAAAACGTGCACTGATACGTACGTATACTTGGATAAGGCAGATAGAGTTGCCAAGGGGGGGGGATAGTAGTAGTATGTCGTGGTTAAGCCTTATCTCCATCTCTTGGCGTTAACAAGGGACCCTGGCTGCCCGCAGACGTGGTTAAGATCCGACTCCGAGGTGGATGATGTAGAGCCAAATTCAACTTGTGACTCTTATTCAATCAATGCTTGCATGTCCAAGTGTCATTGGCATGCGTCTGGGTTCCAAGTTTTTTTTTTCATGCATCATGTCACGTATTCCATCGGCTCACCGTGATTGCAAACGGCAGAGTGCGTTTAGGGTACCGTGTAAAAGTAGTATGAATCGTGAGTACTAGATGAGATGAGATGCACAGGTAGCAATGTACACGAATGTGTAACGTAGCACAAAATGCAACGATGCCTTTCTGATAAGGGAAAAGCTGAGGTCGTTTCTTAAATTGCTCACCGCCCGGTATCCAGTTTAGTTTTTCTGTGTATTGTTTTTTTTAAAGCACCCGCAACCTTGGGTCAATGGTTAA